GGAGCTGACCTGGCTCTGGGAGGAGGAGGAAGCTCCTGAGAGATGTTCCTGGCTCCACAGTGACTCCAGGAGTCAGTCAYCCAGCTGACAAATCCTAAAAAATCTCATTCATGAGCAAACCAGACAAGTCAGCTTCCAAATACAGTTACAACAGGGGTGGCAGACAATCAGATGGGAAAGCATCCCTGGGCTTTGCTCAGGCTCAGGGGAGGATTGCTGCTGCTAGCAGGGGCTCTGAGGATGGCAGGGGACACAGGGGACACAGGAGGGGCTATGCCACCAGGCTGGGCTCAGTGCACGGAGCCTCCCTGCCCTGCGCTGGGGACTCAGAGCCACTCTGGTTCTGTTCACATCTCCTTCCATCAGCTTGTCATCACCATGTGAAGGATTGGCTTTTTGCAACTTAATCCCATTTACACAACAATCAATGAGATGCAAATCCCCCCGAGGCCCTGGGGTCCAGCAGGGATGGCCTGGCCCTGTCTGTCCCTCAGCTCGCAGGTGCCAGCCAAGCTCTGGGCATGTGGCCTTTGCCCGGGTGTGCCCTGGGGTCTTTGGGGTCTCTGGTAGCCAGCGGTGCCCCCACTCAGCTCGGCTGGAAGGGGCAGGATCCTCCCCAGTGCCCTGAGCTCTCCAGCACCAGCCTGGGGCTTGCCCAGCCCTGGCAGGGGCAGAAGGAGGCAGGAACAGCACGAACCAGCACGGGAACAGACAGGGGAAGAGAAAAGCACCTGGAGTCTGTGMAGGGAGTAGTTTTGGGCAGGAGGGTGGCTGGAACAGGCACTGCTCAGCACAGACCTGCACTCTCTGCTCCTTCCCCGGTTCTGTGYTCTGGAGCCCTGTTGTTGCAAATCCCAATTATGCTTTTTTCCTGACCTAATTTTCTCAGGAATTGACCCAACTTTAGCATTTGGGAACTGGCATTCATGCTGCTGGCAAATGTTTCTTATTTGTTCAAAAAAATGTGTCCAGTGTGACCTTTTCTGCTTAAAGAGCTTACACAAYGAGAATACATGAATGTTCAATTCTGACCTTGCATAACTCTCAAAGCAGGGCCATACATTTACCAGCAGCAAGGGACTTTTTTCCCCCATCCTTTGCAGCAAGGAGGAAGGAAAAGCCATCACTGAGCAATTTCAGTGAAGGAATAACTCAACCATTACCCCCTTACCCCCAGATCCACAGGGCTCTCAAGGCAGCAGTGTGAGCACTGCACAGCTCTGCATGTCTGCCCACAGGGGCACAGAGAAATGGAGAGGACACCTGGCAGCTGGAAATGGCCTGATCCTGCCTTTTCTGCCCCAAAACATTCCCAGGGACTAAACTGGGAARTGATAACAAATTCATTCATGCCTCAAACCAAACAGTGATGCCATGAGCCTTGCACAGGACAGTTCCCTTCCAACAAGAGGCTCCTGGTGCCATTCCCTGTGTTCTGAATATGCCTAAATCTGGCCATAGGAAGAGTTAACCTCAGCCACAGCCCGTTGCCCGTCAGGACAGGTGCCCACAGCTCTGCTCTTCCTGAAACAGCCCCATTGTCCCTCCTGCAGGGAGCTGGTGCAGCCAAAGCCCTTCAGCTCACAGAGGCAGCGTGGCCAGGCCTGACCCTGCACTGCTGAGCCCGGACAATCCCCGGTGCAGAGGGAGGATCGTGGGGCTCTATCTCAGCACGATGTGTTCATATACTCAGTATATTTCTCACCCAGGGCAGAGCAGGTGTGGCTGCAGCACCTGCTCCTTACAGAGAATTCACCTGGCTGGGCCAAGGAGGGATGAAGGAAAGGAGGGATGGAGTCAGGGCTCATGGTGAGAGGGGTGAGGGGAGGATAATTCACTGTATTTCCTGCAGAGCCCAGGACAGGCTGGGTTTGCTCCAGAGCCGGGGAGCTTAGGGGGAGGCACTGCGGTGGGTCTGCTGGGGATGGAGCTGGGGAGGAGCCCCAGGGCCGAGGAGAGTGCCATCTGAGTGCCATCTGAGTGCCATCTGAGTGCCATCTGAGTGCCAGCTGAGTGTGCCATCTGAGTGCCAGCTGAGAGTGCCAGCTGAGTGCCAGCTGAGAGTGCCATCTGAGTGCCCTCTGAGTGCCATCTGAGTGCCAGCTGAGTGCCATCTGAGTGCCAGCTGAGTGCCAGCTGAGAGTGCCATCTGAGAGTGCCCTCTGAGTGTCAGCTGAGTGCCAGCTGAGTGCCCTCTGAGTGCCAGCTGAGAGTGCCAGCTGAGTGCCATCTGAGTGCCA